ATTCCGTAGTGCTTTTTCAACATTGTCTTCTGTAAAATCGATACGTATTAGATCATTGTAGTTGTCTGTGGTTCAACCAGGAAATACTGGGCATGATCCATTGCTGTTTACAGATACTGAGCCAAAGAATGTGTTAAAGATGTTGGCTTTAATAGTGTCATCATTGGAGTCTTTACCATTAGGTCCTTTCAGGGGTGGGATGGACCTTGAGTCTTTTAGTTTGTTGTTTACAAAATTGTAGAAAGTGCAGGTGGAATTGGTACGTAGAAGGTTTTCTTCTTGTTTAATGTGATAATTGGTGCATTCAGTTTTTATCTGGTGGCATACATTTTTGTATCGACTTTTGAAGTTGGCAACATGACCAGATTTGTTTTTCCGCCAAAGTGATTTCTTTTTGGATTGAAGCTTCCTTATTGTTATGGGTAATTTGTTTTTTCTGGTTTTGGGAGTTGTTAATGGTACATTTAGTTTGATGACTCTTTTGACTTCAAGTAAAAATATGTTGTGATGGTCTTCTACAGTATTGCATCCAGTGAATAGAAATTGCCAATCAAGGGATGAGAGATCATTGTTTATAAGATCATAGTTGCCTTTTTTGAAGTTATAATTGGGGATTCCGTCGTTGTGATGATTTTTGTGTGGACGTACATTGAGACAAAAGTCTATCATGTTGTGGTCACTGTTGGAAAAGGGTTCTTTAATTTGTATTCCATAAATTGAATTCAAACTATTGCAGAAGATGAGATCGAGGCAGTTGTTAAGTCTAGTGTTGTTGGTTACTAGTTGTTCTAGTCCCAGATTTGTTATTGCATTGTATAAGGTTGCATGTGTGGGTTCAGTTGTACATTCATTAAGGGTCCAGTTAATATGAAGTAAATTGAAGTCACCAAGAAAGATAAAAGCGTGTGGGCAGGATGCTGCCCATGTTAGTAGTGTATTTAGCTTGTTTGCATGTCCGATGTCATAATCAGGGGCTCTGTAACATAGTAAGAAACGAAATGTGATATTTAAAGACAGCTCACAGACGATGGTCTCAGGAATAGCAAGCTCCTGGGTAACTTGGATGTTTTTTAGATGTAGGGACTTTTTATAGAAGATAGCAACACCGCCTCCTCTACGGATTTCATGATCTGATAGCAACCCACTTGCTAGATAAAAAGTAATCTTACACAATCTGGCTAAATTTGTTACCCTTTCCTCTTATTGATCACTGCAGGATATCTTACCTACTTGTTTTCTCTGGATGTACCAGGCTTTTGTAGAATACGGTTTTAAATCAAAAGATAGCAGTGTTACTAATCTATGTTGTCCCATAGTACTGTTTGGGCTGCTTTGCCAAAGGATGCAAAGCTTATTTTTATGAATGAAGAAAACAGGAGGGGTTGAATTGCTTGATGAATATTTCAGGAAACTTCAGTGATTGATTTTTGTCTCATAAACACCAACAACTGGGAGCAGTGTTTCTCATACTTAGCAACTTTAAGTAGGCTGGACTTCAACTCCTAAAATTCTCTTGTGCTAAAGAGCAGGGGGACTTACAACCGCAATTGAGCCCAAAATTTCTGTCGCTAAGCAATACAGTTAAGTGCCTTTTGCCCCATTTTATGACATTTCTGGCTATACTGGCTAAGAGAATCATTGTAGTTGTAAAGTCAGTAAAGTGAATCTAGCTTCCCCATTGAATTTGCTTGTCAGAAGGTCACAAAAGGGGATCACGTGACATGACCCCAGGACATTGCAACTGTCATAAATACATGCCCGTTGCCAAGGGACCAAATTTTGATCACATGACCATGGGGATGCTGCAACCGTCTTAAGTGTGAAACAGTCACTTTTTTCAGCGCCACTGTAACTTTGAATACTCATTAAATGAACCAGGGTGGTGTGGTGGCTCACAGTTAAGACATTGAGCTTGTCTTCTGGAAAGCCGGCAACACAGGTTTGAGACCCGAGCGCCACACAACAGGGTGAGCTCTCGTCCTTCTCCCAGCTCCTGCCAAGCTAGCAGTTTGAACGCATGCAAATGCGAGTAGATAAATAGGTACCACTGTAGTGGGAAGCTAAGAGCATTCTGTGACATCATGCTGACCACATGACCGTACTGGCAACAACTAGTGGAGTAAAAATCTGCAAGGACTCCTTCTTTTTACTAATAGTTGTAAGTTGACAGCGCTGTTGTAGCCAGCTGGCGGGTAGCGGAGCTGGCAGCAGAGTCGGACAGTGAGAAGGCTGGGAAGGAAACTGGGTCAGCCCTGGAGGTTGAGGAAGGCTCGGACGAGGGCTCTGCATCAAAGGCAGTCTGCTTAGTGCTTTTTGGGTCAGCTGAGGTCAGAACAAGCTCCCTGTACAAGGAAATCAAATTGCCTTCTCAATACCAGGCCAAAATAATTTTAATTGCTGTGTTTTATCACCTGTTCATGTTCAACTAATGGCCCACTATTTTCACAGACACAGCTCCAAATAAAAACCTATAGCTATTGGTTTACCGAAACCTAGCTAAACCTATCGTTGCTGCTCAGATGCAGGACTTTTGCACTCATAGAAAGGCTCTCCTGCTTGAGCAGGGGTTGGACTAGAAGACCTCTAAGGTCCCTTCCAACTTGGTTGTTCAATTCTTTTCTCACCGTAATAAGCAACCCTTTCAGCTCAACTAAATCCAGTTTTGATGGTCTCAAAAAAACAGACGGAAAGTCCTTTATCTTCATCCCTGCCCAGAAATGAACCCTGAAATAAAAGCTAGATGTAGCTGGATATGCCAGTGACACTTGTCCGTGACATTGTCTGCAGGTTATGGTGACACTGAAGCAACCAGCTGCAATTATCCAGTTCTCCGTGCCCTTCATCCAGCTGGTAGAAACAACAGAATCTGAGATACTTTGGATGAGGAGAAATATTGTCATTTTTTATTTGCCCAAAGGGCTTAAACTGGATGGAGCAGGAAAATTCTGCTGGTTCTAGCAGTACAGGGAGTTGAGTCCTCAACTTACGATGGTAATGGAACCCACAGTTATGGCGGTAAACCCATTTGGTTGTTAAGCAGGTCATCAGCAGAATTTATCCCTGGGAACCAGTGGTCAAGCATCAAAATTTTGATCATATGACTCGGGGGATGCTGCAACAGTTGTAATTCTCAATGATCCAAGCTCTGTACCTGGCTGACACAGAAGCACAAACACTCTGGAGCCATGAAATAGAATCCAGGTTTATTCAGGCCGGAGCCTTGGCACAAACTGAGTGCACTTCAGGTATACGTCTGTTGTATAGTCAGCACTGGGAGTCACTGCCTTCCAGCAGGAACCATGCCCCACCAGGGGTGGGATTCAAATTTCTTAACAACTGGTTCTGTGGGTTGTGGCCTAATTTGTGGCTTGGTGGTCATGTGACTGGCTGGGCGTGGTTTATATGTAAATATTGGAAATATTGATGTAAATATTGAATTTTTTATTTAAAAAAGAGCAACTTTTACCCAAAATCAGGCAAAGCAGACAGGCAGATTGAGTCGCTCACAGAATCACAGATTCACTCAGAGATCTATCTTTCTGCAATCTACTACCTAAGTCTGCACTGAAGAATAAAATGATTGTTGGTGCCGCTGCTTTCTTAATTCCCCACCCACCAGGTATGGCAAACCCCAATGGGGTTTGACAGTAAGTGTGTAAAATGGTCATAAGCCACTTTTTTTCAGTGTCCTAGTTACTTTGAACAGTCACTAAATGAATTGTTGTATGACGAGGACTACCTGTAATCTGCTTGAAATCAATAACAGTAGCAATAGCAGTAGTACTTCGATTTATATACCACTTCACGGTGCTTTACAGCCCTTTCTTGGAGGTTTACAAAATCAGCCTCTTGCTCGTAACAATCTGGGTCCCCATTTTACCGACCCCGGAAGGATGGAAGGCTGAGTCCACCTTGAGCCAGTCAGGATCAAACTGCTAGTGGTGGACAGATTTTGCCTGCAATGCTGCATTCTAACCACTGCGCCACCATGGCTCTTCATAGCATGGAAGTAAGCGCAGTTCAGACTCAACCCACTGGCTTCAAGGGGTTTCCTTGAAGCACACCTATATCCATGTGTAAGCCACAAGCAAACGATGAACCTATTTTAAGTTCCTTGAAAGAACCCTCTCCAGACTTGATCACTGAAAACAAGACAGCTCCATTTCTTATGAGAAAACAAATCAATCAGAAAAAAAGTGGGAAGGGGGCCTTGAAGATCTTCTAGCCCAACCCCATGCTCAAGCAGGGCACTCTATATACCACTTGAGACAAGCGGTGTCCAGTCTCTTCTTTAGAAGCCTCCAGTGTTGGAGCACCTACAACTTCTAGAGGGACGCCGTTCCACTAGTGAATTGTTCTCACTCTTAGGGAGTTTCTCCTTAATTCCAGGTTGCTTTTCTCCTCGATGTTTCCATTCATTGTTTCTTGTCCTGCTTTACGGGGCTTTGGAGAATAAGTTGACCCCCCCCCACTTCTTCGTGACAGCCCCTCAAATACTGGAACGCTGTTATCACGTCACCGTTGAAACGTCTGAAAACTAGAATGCGCCTACCTACGGGTGGCCCAGTGGTTAGAGTGCAGTACTACAGGCTACTTCTGCTGACTGCCAGCTGGCTGCAATTGGGCAGTTCAAATCTCACCAGGCTCAAGGTTAACTCCGGGGATGGGCTGTGCAGGGATCCAGGAGAGTCTCTAGCTAAGATTCTGCGCTGTTTGGAAAAAAAAAACCCAAATCCCACCCCGGCCACCCTGCTCCTCCCGTTTTGGATGCAGGTAAGTGTAGGATATACACAGAGGCTTCAAGAAGGTGAAAAACGGGCCTCCTGTAAGTTCAGGAAGGCTGGAAATGGGCCTGTTTCTGGCTTCCAAAGAGCCCCCCAGAGCCCAGGGAGGGGAAAAACGCCCCCCCCCATGATTCAGGAGGAGGACTAGGCCACGCCCACCCAGCAACCAGGCAGATAACCCTTTGCTAAATTTTTTTAAAGCCTGTCCTTGGTTAACTCAGCCTTCCATCTTTCCAAGGTGGGTAAAATGAGGACCCAAACTGTTGGGGGCAACATTCTGACCCTGTAAGCCGCTTAGAGAAGGCCGTAAAGCACTATCAAGTGGTCTATAAGTCTAAGTGCTGTTGCTTGCTATTGCTACCTGGTCTGCAGGTTCTCCCTCCCTCTCATCCTTCACGTCTCCCTGCTATGTCTTCAAACTCTTTTTCTCCTTGGACCTCAGTTTGGAGGCTTTCTCGCGTCGCTTTGGCATGAAGCAGATTTGAATTCAGAAAGCACACCCTGCACCGAGCAGTGAAAGAGAGAGAGAGAGAGGACTCAATCAATCACACTCGCCCGCAAATGAATGGCACCTCAGCTACTGTTGGAAATGCGCACCTGGCGGCTGCCTAAATTGATTGTGAGGCGTTTGCTCCTCGGAAAATGAGGTGCTGAGGCCACACGGAGGGAACGGTGGCTTAGAAAAATCTAACAGAAGCTGCCTGTGGCTAGTCCGTGACTTACAACCGGTCATTTAATGGCCATTCCAGGTTATGGCGGCCTTGGGGAAAAAAAGTGACTTAGGACTGTTTTTTGTTCACACTTGCGACTATTGCAGCATCCCCTTTGTCATGGGATGAAAATTTGGATGCTTGTTGAGTGGCGTGCATTTACGATGGTTGCCTGCATCCCAGGATGCTGGGATTGTCACTTCTTAGGAATCTTAGAATCAGGGATTTTACTGGTTCTATAGACCCGGTTGTTACAATTCTGCATCGTTTGGAGAACCGGCAATTTGTGCCCCTAGTGGCCCCGGCCCTCTCCGCCCGGCCCAGTCTGCATTTCCCCACCCACCCAATCACTCCTTAAGGGATTTCTTTTTTTCCCCTCCCGATGATCAGCTGTTCCAACAATCAGCCGTGCTGGGATCCTCCTCGCTGTCTTGTTACTTCACCCAGGAGGTTTCCCTGAGGCCCAGGAACGGGGTGTGTGTGTGTGTGAAACAAAAGAAGCCATGCCCAGCCAGTCACATGGCCACACCCACCTATCCACGCCCACAGAACTGGCCGTTAAAAAAAATTGAATCCCACCCCTGCTTAGGATAGAATGAATGAGCTGGAAGGGACCTTGGAGGTCTTCTAGCCCAGCCCCCTGCACAAGCAAGGAGAACCTACACCATTTTAGACAAGCGACCGTCCAGTCTCTTCTTAAAATCCTCCAGCAATTGAAGCGCCCATAGTTTCTGGTGGCAAGCTGTTCCGCCGGTTAATTGTCCTCACCCTTAGGAAGTTGTTAAGTGAATCACTGCCGTTGTTAAATTCGTAAGTGAGTCTGGCTTCCCCGTTGATTTTGCTGGTCACAAAAGGGGATCGCGTGACTCAATTAACAGTGGAAACATTGGGCTCAGCTGTGACTGTAAATTGAGGACTTACCTGTATTCACCCATACATATAGTCCTTCTTCCTCTTGCCTTAAACATGCACACACACACACACACACACACACACACAAATCTTTGGTGTAGAGAAGGCAGCAGGTTGAAGCAGATACAGGTGTTGCTGGACATCAGGATTTGGGGCAACCATGCAAGGAACCAAAACAGCAAGTAGCCTTAGCAACAAACCAAGTGTTCTGACCCAACTCCCCAAACACGACAAATCCTCTGATGTAAATTCAAAAGATTCCTTTATTAGGAATGCCGGCAGCTCCAGCAAAACGTTTTTCTTGCAAGCTAAGAAGTCTGGCCGACTGGAAGATGAATAGTTGGTCTGCTATACCTCTTCATCTCCGCCCCCTGCCTTTTATCCCCAGAGCTAGGGTGAGGCTTCACTAGCAGCCATGGCTCTTCCGTCCCAAGGACCAGCTCATAGATTTCCACTGCTCTCCTCTCCTCTGCCTTCTGCACATCCACACGTCAGGCACTGGACCCAGGTGTTCCTCCTCTTCTTCATCAGCCACCTCCAGACCTGAAGGCTGTTGACTCTCCATCTGTGGGCTGACAGATGGTCCAGGCTCCGCTTCTCTCTCTCTCTCTCTCTCTCTCTCTCTCTCTCTCTCTCTCTCTCTCTCCCTCCCTCCCTCCCTCCCTCCCTCCCTCTCTCTCTCCTAACTCCATTCCCTCTTCCCCCTTGGAGCTCCCAAGTTTGCCCTGATGCTGACCCTGACTCCCACACCTCCTCCTCCTCCTCCTCTTCTGATTTGGCTGTTGGAGAGGCCAGCAACCGACAGACCACAACACTGAGATGATGCCAAAGTGAAGGCATTTTGTGAGCTGGTATCAGGTTGTTGGCCAGAGGAATTTGAAGGATTGGTGGGGCAGTTTTTTTCTATTGAAGACATGGCACGCTGCACATATGAATGTAACTACATGAGTGGATATTGGCGGCCCAATGATAAACCCAGGCTAGCAAAGTCTCTCTGGAGAGAGGTGAGATCACGAGATTGTCCAAATGTACTCCAGGCAGCTTCTCCTTGCAAGCAGATTGCAGAAAGCAAGATTTTATGTAGTTGGGTGAGGAGCGAGCAGCTGGGAGTCAACTAAGCTCACAGCCGTAATGCTGGCTCATATTTAGAACATAGAACAATAGCATTGGAAGGGACCTTGAAGATCTTCTAGCCCAACCCCCTTCTCAAGCAGGAAGTCAAGATAAACGGTAGTCCAATCTCTTCTTGAAAGCTTCAAGTGATGAAGCGCCCACGGGTGGTTTGGAGAATAGATTCACACACACACATACACACACACACACACACACACACACACACACCTTTTTTTTTCTTTGTGGCAACCCCTTTAATTATTGTGTTCTCAGGAACTCAGGGGTGGTGTTAAAGGAAGAAGTCAGGAGAGCACAAACATAGGAGATGTGAAATAGTGTGCCAACTCTAATCAACACACAAAGTTGTCTTGTTTCTTCAGCAAATGTGATCCTGCTTACAACAGGCACGGGGCCTGGGATGCAGAACTGATTGATCTGGTAACCCACCAGATGGATACAATAAAATATGAATTATATATTTATATCAGAATTATCAGAGAAGCCATAGAGATTGAAAAAAAGACCTGAAAGCAAGAATAGAAGAGATGATTCCACCAGACTGTCAATTATTTGGAAGTCTGCACTCACAAACAAAAAAATCTCCACACTACTAGCCAGGCAAACACCTGGGCACAAATAGATCCCCCCTGATACCTCCAGCTCAAACACACCCCAACCAGGCACCCAGATGAAACCTAGCTTCCTAACTAATGATAGCCGTCCATTTACTCAGAGCAAAGCTGCACTAAAAGCCTCCAATACAGGAACACAATGTTGGCAGCCAATCAAGACACACACAAAAAAGCCACAAAACAGACAGAAGATATTAGAAATACCAATCAAGCAGAACACGGCAAACTCCAAGACCAATAAACACAGACCAAGACTCCCAACCAATCCAGGATGAAGAAAAAACCATTCTGGCACAGCAGTAGGCTAGCCCCAAATTTAAAACTGAAACAACTGTAAAAGTCTGACTCACAGACAAACACAATACGGAAGCCTGATGATGGCAGATGAGATTCTGCCGAAACGTTGCTACAGGGTACTTACATGTATGGTATTCAGCTTTGCTCAGGTATTTTCCCACGTCATTGTAGTTGTGCTTTTAAAGTTGTAGCAATTCTGCCAACTTTAAAAGCACAACTACAATGACGTGGGAAAATACCCAAGCAAAGCTGAATACTATATATATATGAATATATATATATATATAATCCTGAATTAAAGTGTAGTTAGAGTAATGGCCCTCCCTCCCTTCCTCCATTAAGAAATTAGTGTACCCATCCAGTTGGAGTAGACACTCTGTCTGTGCCCTCTGCTGAATCTTCTTTCCATATGGCTAAACTGTCATGTTATAATCGTGATTTATATGCTTCCATCAGGGAGACATCACGGGTTGTTGTGGTTGTTTTATTTTTCCTGGAAAGTGATGTTGCTGTTTGAGCACTCAGAACTTTTGTTTTGGATCTGAGCTGCAGCCGCGGGAACTCGGGGGTCAAAACTCGGGGGGTCAAAAGCTAGTCATGATGGAAGAAAGAACAATACACCCCAAACTCATGCGGTGATTAATCTAAAAACGGATTGAAGGCTATTGCCTATGTGCTGTATAGCTCTTACTCGGTGGCTGTTATGCTAATTGGGCATTACTGCACATACCAGGTTATGCAGTTGCAAAGAGTGGGAAGCAAAGAGCTGTTAATGTGGTTCCACGAACAGATTTTGGCATGAATATACGCCTTGTTTTCATGCTCTAAAATGAGCATTTGGGGGAACGGGGAACGGGGTCAGTAATCTGCATTGCCATCGAATTAAGCTTGATATTTTATTTTTAAAAAGCTTCCGCTGGTTTGATCAGGAGGAGGAAGAGGAGGAGGAAAGAGAAGGAGGGAGGAAGGAGAAGGAGGAGAAGGAAGAGGAAAGGAAGGGAGCGGAGGAGCAGGAGGGAAGGAAGGTAGGAGGGAAGGAAGAGGAGGAGGAGGAGGGAGGAAGGAAGGAGGGAAGGAAGAGGAGGAGAAAGAAAGGGAAAGGTGGAAGGAAGGAAGAGAAGGAGAAGGAAGGGCAGGAAGAAGGAAG